TTAATTAAAATTATAAAATTATAAAATTGATATAATTAATTTGATTTGTAATTTTATTTTTTAAATCGCCTGAACAGTCCAATTATAAAATAAAATTCAATTACAAGTTAATTAAATAATATTATATATATTTTGTAGTATTTTAAATTTTCTTTTTCTTGTTTCACAAAATAATAACTTCATTAACTTAATTAAAAAATAAAAAAGCATCCCCATATTCTCTAATTTTTTTTCCTCTTAATCATGCACTTTTGCCTTAATTCTAAATTTATAATTCACTTGCAACTCTACCCTTATAAATAATTTGTGACTTTGTTTTTAAAACCCTAAATTTCTAATTTGTTCTTAAAATGATATTCTAATTTTCCTAATTAAACCTTAGAGAAGTATAATTCTAGAAGTCTTAAAATTTCATAATAGAATTAGTCTTGATACTTTGCTATTCTTAAATGGTTGATTGAGAAGTTTTAAATCTTAATTATAAATGCTTCTAATCAATCCTAATGATATTCATTTTAAGTTTTATTCACTTTTCATAGGGTTTGAAAGATGGGATTGAGTTATTGGTGCATTAAGGAAAAACAATTGGTTTTAACCTTTAAAAATTACTTACATTGTGCTTGAAATTTAGAGTAATATTTTATTATCCTTATTGCTTTTGGTAATGTAGCCAAAAAGAATTTTTAGATCTTTTTAATTTTTATAATTGTAAAATAGTATAAGAATTTGTTTATAATTTTTGGTTTTTTAAATTATGTTTCTATTGATTTGGATGTTAATATATTTTATAGTTATATTTTTTACTTGATGTCAAAATTTTTCACATTATCTTATATATTTAATAGTATTAAAAATTGTTTACACCTAATTTTGTAACAAATAGAATGATGTTACTTGTCATCCATGTTGGTAGGTATTTTATTTGTTGAAGAATCATTTTATTGATGCAAATTTCTCTAAGATAAAGCACAATGGTTGTTTCCATGCCATCAATAAAGCTGTTCAATTGTTGCAAATTTTTAGGAGCATAGTTAGTGGCACTAACAAGTTAGTCGGTTTGTTACAGATTTTATGCTGCCGTTGGTTTACAAGATGCTGTTGCAGATCCTTAGCATGCTACCTAGGGGTGTTTATTGCTATAAATACGCAAAGATGAAATCAAGCAAGACAAACTTGCCTCTCATACAACAAGCTTAGCATTGTTTCTTTTAATGCTAAAGTGCATCTTAGTTTCAAGCTCCTTAGTTTAGTTTTAGCTCTACACTTCAGCCTTTATTAGCCTACAACTTTAGTTTAATGTCTTTTCCTTTAGAAATCTCATAAATTAGTTATAGTTCTCTACGAAAGCAATTCACCCTTTTTTGTTGGTTTTGTAATGGTAAGATTTGCTACCTTCAATGATGGTTCTTCGTAATTAGATTGCTTCCTTTTTTTTATTGTGTTCTTAAGTTCTTTTTAATTAATCAAGTAATGTTGATATTCAATTTCATACACTATTTGTTTCTGTTGACTTATATGTCATGTTGTTAGTAGATTTTTCATGTTTCCAGCTTCATTTACTTTAGTTTAATTTGTTTTTCTATATTTGGATTTCCTTTTGAAAGTTGTATTTTAACTCAGTCTACATGTTAAAAATTCATTTAGATTTTCAATAGCTTGGCGATTATTTACTTTTCTGGCAATCATTTACTTTTCTTGCAATCTTAAATTTTTCCCGATTACATTTGTTTGGAGGAGTTCTTAGAGACATATCCAAGGTATTTTATCGTTTAAACCCATTTCGTGTAGTAAGTTCATTCCTCATTTCTGCCAATCATTTGACCAGTAAGGCATAGTTTATGACATTCTTCCATCAACTCACAATTGAGTTCCACACTCAAAAAGAAGAGAGGGACATCAAAAAATATCTTTCTTGTTTTTAACAAAACAAGTAGCATGCCATTTCACCTACCATGTTTCAAGGAGATTTTTTGGGATAACAAAATTTGATCAATTTGATTGAACTACACCGATTTGATTTAAGTTGGATTGGTTTGATTATCATATAATAGTGGATTTGATTAATTTATAAATTTTACTAATCGATTAAATTGAATTAGTTTAAAAATATATTAAAATTCGAACCAATTACACTGTGAACAACCTTATTGTTGGATTTTAGAAACCTTTTTAATGTTTGATGAGTGGTCACATGAATAAGTCCCTCCTTGTGTACTAGGAATTTTCTTGGATAAAGTTTGTGGGTTTGTATTGTATTTTTATTTTTGCTGAGAAAATTCTTATGTAATATATTGATCAAATTTTCTATCTCGATTTAGTGAAACTTTAATTTTAAGTCTTATATAAATGAAAAGGAAAATGCTTTGTGCACC